TCACTAAATATATCAATATAAAGAGAGATATCCAAAATCCTTGCAGAATATCGAAAGTCCTTACAAATTCCTTGCATATCTTTATTACTGCATTTTAGTTTCTGAATAATCGGATTACTTGTAAATGCAGTAATTACTGGCAAATTGGCATCACTGCAAGGCAGGTAGTAGGCTTCCAAACGACAAATTCGGCAGTGTTGCCACGAGTTCACTTGTAACGAACTGTGCCGATTTATATGGTAATGACAAATATTTTCGAAGTGAATGTGGCACTAGTTCAGGTTCTGAAATGTTTGATGTCTATTTTAACCTCATAATAGAGGTCATAACTTCATGCTGTTGAATGTAATTTGTTAGTTTTGAAGTTCCGCACAGCATTGGTGATATTAAAGAATTATCACGGATTCAATATGGCAACGTCCATATCCACAATCGTGATCTTAGAATGCTCCCATTCACCGGCTTCATTTAATGAGGTAAATAACTGAGTCCATTTATTTTTCTACGTCCATGGACAAAGTATATCTGATTTTCTTCATTTCCTGAAGACGCCAACTTGGTTGGTGAAGCGTATTGCGGTTCTGGTGTTTGGGAATATTATGGTTATATTTACTAAAAATGGATATTTCACCAATAAACTATCATATTATAATAACTCAATATATAAAAGTAAAGATATGTAAGATTTTATTGAAAAAAAAATTAAAAATGAGCCTGATTTTTATAAATAGTGAATCAAATATGTTTCACTTTCCTCTCCCTTTTCCTTTTCCCGTATTTTTCCCCCTTTTATTTGGTGTATTTTTCTTGTCTTCCACCTTTCTTTTGGCAGGAGTTGTAGAAAGAAGAGTGAAAAATCCATCTAGTCTTCCCTGAGTAGTTCCAGTTCGAGCTTTCATGAGTTTTTTACAGCCATTTCTCACCCTTTCTTCATTAAAATTTTTATCACCACAGAGATATTTGACCATGCCTTCCTCATCTGGATCACTCCATTTCAGCTGAAAAATTATTTTGGGTTATATATTTATTATTGATCCATTAAAAATTGATATCAAAGAATAGAATACCAATTCTAATTTTTGAATAATGTGTAATTTCCAAAAATAATAAAACATTCAACAACCTCAATTGTTTCAGGATCCATAACTTCAGGATTTTTGAACAATTCTCTTGCTTCTTTGTAACACCAGTTTTCTGGTGGCGAATATTTATCTTTATTTAAAGCTTCCAGAATAGCTTCAATTGATTTATGTTTCTGAATAAGTTCTATAGCTCTCTTTGGACCAATTCCTTTAATACTGTCTGTGTAATCACATCCTAATAAAATACACAGATCCATGAACTAAAAATAATATAATTGCAATTATTTTAATTTTGGTAATATTTTAAAAACTAACTTCGTGTTGGTTTAACTTGAGGCCGTCAAGTACTTTATCCAAGTGAATTTCTTGAATAGGCACCTTTCTAGCTTCACTGAAGGTTAGATGACGTAAAACTACCTGTAAAAAACAAGTATGCCTGTTCGATTATTTCATCAACTTTGAAAAGATTATAACAAAGTCAAGAATAGAATCTATTTTCAGTGTTACTATCTTCATTCGGATTTGAAGGTTGTCGTAGTTTGGAACTGCATCCTTACGTTTCGCCAGTACGAGAGGCTGGTTTCTTCAGAGGTTTATTCATCTTGATGATTCCCGGGTGAATAATCAAGATGAATAAACCTATGAAGATGCCAGCCACTCGTACTGGCGAAACGTTAGGATGCAGTTCCAAACTACGACGGCTTTCAATCTTGAATAAAGATAGTAACACTGGAAATCTCTGCTGTGAAAGCCTTAACCAATTCATTAGAATCAACTTTTTTTGGTCCTTTACAATTAAATCGGTGCATGAAATGACAAAGTTAATACAAAAATCAACATAACAAAGTTGATGACAAAACCAGCAACTTGTATAAGCCAGTAAGATGGGCATTTGGAGTATTAACAGAATAGAAGCCGTGTTTGGGTTAACATCTGTTTAATTGTTCATATAAACTTCAAGGTTACTCATAGATATTTAGAGTATTCTTTTTCTTGGGTGTCAAGCATCAACTGCTTGGTCATTAGCTTCGTGTTCTGGGTAGTTAATAACTACCCGAGTCACCTATGAAGCATCATGGCTATTTGCAGTCCGGCAGCCATGTAGCATTGCAGAATCATTCCAACTTCAACTGGATGAATTTTCTTGAGACTTACAAACGACCTTTCGCTTGTACGTCTGACACGTTGCCACCGCTATTCAGAGTGTAATATGATGAGATATTCAGTCGCTTTTGTGAGTAAATAACTGACAGAAGTGTAACACTTTTGATAACATTATTTGTGAATATTATAGAAAAACTAGTCAAGAGGAGACTAGTAAATTTCCTTAAAAAAACAGTTTGGTTTCAAAATTGACACATGATGTTATTTTTTAATTTCTGTTAAACCTAAAGCGGAAATAAATGAAGGCGTCAAGTAGGTCGGTAAAACGCTCATCGAGAAACATGTTGAAGTTTTGGTATAAGGAAATAAATATTTGGAAATATCATTCTCTTCCAACTACCTACATAGTAGGGTGTGACAAACGTCTGTCGAAAACTATTGCTGGGTATTGAATTATATCCGACAGATATTTATGCAGCAGCAGCAGCAGGACCATGCTGAAATTATTCAAATAAATCATCTGCAGACCTCGATTTCGAGGTATTGCCACTCGTCAGTACAGGAAAGATCCTACACAGACAGCAAAGTGTCTGGGACTAGATTAATTTCAACACGGCTCCGCTACATATATGAAACCTTCGTCTGAGAGAAAGATTGTTAACTAGTAACAACTCTATCTCGTGAACAAAGCCCCATGCGGGAAGGAAACATCCCATAGACCAAAACTCTAACAGAAATCAAAAGTGAAAACTATCGAGGAGAGATACATACGTATGAGGAAATAATCATTTCGAAATATTCTCTCCCAACTACCTACACAGAGGGTGTGGTAAACGTCTATCGAAAAACAACTACTTCCCCTGCTAATACCACGATGGATATTGAATTATATCCGCAGATGTTTCTCGTTCATCCAGCAGCAGGACCATGCTGAAATGATTCCAGTTGATCACCTGCAGACGGCGTTTTCAAGGTATTACCTCTCGTCAATACAGGAAAGATCCTACCCAGACAGCAAAGTATCTCGGACTCGATTAATTTCAACACGGGTCCGCTACATATATCAAACCTTCGTCTGAGAGAAAGATTGTTAACTAGTAACAACTACATCTCGAAATAAATTTCGAAATATCATTCTCTCTCCCAACTACCTACACAGTAGGGTGTGGTAAACGTCTGTCGAATAACTACTTCCCCGGCTGATACCACGCTGGATATTGAATTATATAATTTTGGTACATGGGATGTTTTCCCTGCTTGGGGCTTTGTTCACAAGATGAGGTTGTTGCTAGTTAACAATCTTTCTCTCGGACGAAGGTTTCATATATGTGGAGGAGCCGTGTGGAAATTATTCGAATCCCAGACACTTTGCTGTGTGGGTGGGATCTTTCCTGTAGTGACGAGAGGTAATACCTCGAAACCGCGATCTGCAGGTGATCTTGAATAATTTCAGCATGGTCCTGCTGCTGGGTGATTCGGACACATCTGCGAGACTAGCCTCTGTGAGAAATCTTGCATAAATGTCGTCGGATATAATTCAATATCCAGATTGGTATTAGCCGGGGAAGTAGTTGTTTACCACACCCTACTGTGTACATAGTTGGGAGAGAATGATATTTCAAAATTCATTTCGAAATATTTATTTCCTTAAACGTATGTATCTCTCCTCGATAGTTTTCACTTTTAATTTCTGTTGGAGTTCTGGTGTTTCGAAATGGTGCCCGTTTTGGATTAATTCTACGTCAGGAGTTCCAATTCTACTTTTCATAGGTTGCCCTTGATAATAATATTATTTTTATCCCAATAACATCATCAATGGACGTAGCAAAAGTAAGAATAAAAAAAATAATTGTATTCACACTAAAAAAAGATTGGAACTAGTTTTTTCCAATGAGGAAAATTTGAAATTAAAATATTAGATTATACCTATGTTATATCAGATACAGTGAAAAAGTTGAGAACAAGTTCAGAATATTCATGATAAAACAACCTTTACACAATTCTTCTTATAACATTTATTGACAAATTTTATCTCAGACACCAATTAACAAATAGTTTATGTTCAATAATAATCATAATAATAAGCCATTTATTTCCAACAGGTACATCAACCCAATTATGAGAAAATGCAATGTAGAAATATCAATATAAATATATTGTAACTAACTCAACTGAATATTTTCGTCCAAATATTTTTATTTTTTCGATAATTTCAACATTTGATTAGTTTTCATTTCAATTGTTCTTCCATAGATTTCGAATCCATTAACACTTTCTTTCAATAGACAAGTTGATGCTCTGTGTAAAAAACTCAACAAGCTGTACTTTGCATTTATTACTCTGAAATTGAGTTTTCATAGGCACAACCTAGTAAACCTATATTATTCTTTAATATACAGTATCATTAGTAGTAACATCATCGTGTGGGGAAGAGCTACAGACACATGCAGAATTTTCATATCACAAAAAAAAATTCATAAGGTTAACATATGATTTGGACTATAGAGAAACATGCATAAACACGTTCATTGAAAACCATATCCTAACAGTAACATCTATCTATCTCTACAAGTTATTAATATATACCCATCAGAATGCTAAAAATATGAATAGAAACAGTGACTACCATGAATATGATAACAGACAGAAGAATGACTTCCATTTGCACCACTTGCAAAGAAAGCAACATATAATAAAGAGCCCTCTATATGCTGGAGCACATTTGTTCAATCTTTTGCCTGAAGACTTGAAACTCATTACCAATATGAAATATTTCAAACTATCTTTGAAAAGTTTCTCATCCGCCATGCCTTTTATTCATTAGACGGGTATAAAAAACGTGCGACTAGGCAGTTTTGTTTCAATGTATTTTAACATGTGTTTATATTTAAATTGAGAAGTTTTTCTCTCTTTATGTACTGTGACTTATCTCATGTTGTAAAGCAACCATAAGAGATTAAATAAATATCTATCTATCTATCTGTTGAACAATGGAACTTCAAAGTTGTAACAATTCAATGTTCATCTGGTAAATCTTTTGGTGGGGAAATTTTACAATAACCGACTTCAATGTATTGAGTACCAGCTCATTCTTATGACACCAGTCAGAAAATGGGTCAATGACTGTTTCCATTTCATAGATGAATTGCTCTACATTGCATCCAGATTCTGTCATAGTTGTATCGTTGGCAAGCATAGGTATATAGACTTCTGCTTTGTGCTGTGGAAGGTCATTGACAAAAACAGAGGACCAAGAACTAAACCTTGTGGCACCATTAAATGTTACCATCATGAATCTGTTTGTCATCTAGGATTTTAACCAATTTATGAAATTATCTGGATATCCTAATGATATTAGTTCTACAGCTAAGAATTCAGTGCACACTATCAAATGCCTTTGATAGGTCGAAGAATAATGAAAGGATATATTCCTTGCTGTCAATCTCCTTATAAATATATGTTTAAAATCTGTGTTTCCTTTAATCAACTTCCCTCCTCCTCGACGAACGACGCCCCTCAAAAGTCGAAAGTTATGAGAGTTAAGGATTAACGAAGTCTTACCTTTAAACGTGCGATTCCTAGCACAAGTAGCTGTTTTTACCGATCTTTGTTTGAAACAATGTTGACCAATGCATAATAAATCGTTTTTCTTCAACTGGTAAACAAGTCTTTTAGCAACTACCGTCTCAATCAGTTTATGAAGCAAAGAGGTTTGCCTATAGGTATCAGAATAATATCTATAATTTTCATTATTATAATATACAATAANCTTGTGGAGCTCTTGCTGTCTTCTAGCTAAAGCCTGTTCCACCATCACTTTGAAGTAACCATTCCGTTGAAGGTAATTTTTGATGATGCCTAGTTCCTTTTCGAGACCTTCCTTTGTATTACACAGCCCGAAAGCACGGTCTAGTAAAGTCTTGATGATTCCTCTTAGTCGATTGATGGTGGTTGGATTCCTGATTGTCTTTACAGATTCCTTCAGGTATTTCAAATCAATTTATATATTAGACAATGGAAGTCCGGACTAATGAAATGCACCACGAAACATTGTCAACTACCTTCAAACAAACATTATGGACTTTGCATATTTTGGTATGGAAATCAGTAATCAAGACAAGTGTGGGTTCCTCACAAAGTGTTTTATGTTTGTGTCAAGGATTTAAGGAAACGGTACGAAAGAGAGAAGATAGCTTTTAAATTTGCGGTACCCATGATATGGAGAGAGAAAAATCATTTAGATGATTGTTATTTTTGCAGTATAGACGTTAATGGATATAAGTCTAAAAATAAAAGAATTGTGGTGTATCCTAACGTTACATCTGAACCAAGCTTTCCTGTTCCTGTGCCACCTGAGGTTATTGGTGATATTTTACAGTGTAGTCCCGAACATAACTTACTCAGAACACGAAACTAATGACTATAGTAGTTGATGCCATTGGCACCAAGAAAACGAAAATTGTGTTGAAACTAATGTCAAGTAACAATGTTATACAAGATTGCTGGTATTACCTTTGATCCAAAAGTCAAAGCATCCATATCTTCAGTAGCTGTAGCATATACTTTGCCAGCTTTAACCATAGCTGCACATTGTGCTTCAGCTTCACAGGGTGCATCAATGTATGGCACCCCCATTAGTGTCAGCAATTGTTTAGCTTCCTCAGAGTGATGTTTAGTAACTTTAACAAGTCTTCGGTTGAATTTATCCATTTCAGCAGCATCTCCAGCTTCAGTAGCCTTATCCAGAGCCTTTTGAGCTTCATTGCGTTTTTCCTGTCTCTTACTCAACTCGCCCGATTTCATTTCAGGTGGTTTACCATCGAAAACATAGACTGGCTTGATACCGTTTTCAATTAATCTAATAGTTCGATAAAACGTTCCTAGTAAATGAGATGTTGTTTCACCATCTGCCGAAGTTAGCTGAGCACCTTCTGTTCTAACGGCGATTAGAAATTGATAGAGACACATAGAAGCATCGATGGCTACTTTTCGACCTGGTTATAAAAATAAAATGGCAAATATTTGCATGCTTACAATCTCAACATAATGTTTTAATTAGTAAACTAACATAACAAGTTAGAATATTTATTGAATACTGTAAAATTCCGAATTATTTTGGATATGAGTAATTTAAATAATATATATCTTCAGTTCCTTACCAAAATACGTTTTGAGTTCCGTATCTTTAAGAGCTTGAGGTGCTACATCTGCAAGCAACTTTGATAGATTCAAAATACCCATGTTACAGAGATTTATAAATACACTACTATCCAAAAAATATACTACTTGCTTTATTATATCAATAAACATGTATATTCATTTTACGTTTTATATTTCATTCCCGCAATTTTTAAGAAACACAGCTGTTACTGATAGCAATGTTGCCAAGAGTAGAGTTTACTCTCAAGAAGGCTAAACCACAGTATTCAGTATTCCGTGACTATTGACTATACGTGACTAGACTATAGTTACGAAATACTGACCGTGGCTAAGAAAAGATGCATAGAAACCCTGGCGTTAAACCGATTAACTTTCGTTTTATCCTCGGAGTAATAATAATACATAGAGTTGCCATGCCTATACCAATACAATACATGTACTTTGAAACGGGTGTCGTACTATCCTTTTCTGTACAACTTATGGGCGTGGGGGATTGGCGGGTAATAAGAGGTTGTGGAGAGTTTGTTTACATTCGAAATAAGTTGGACCATAAAACAGTGGCGGTTGATTTAGTTAATAATCGGAGGGATATTATATATTTATAAAATGAATCATTTCAGGTGAAAATGTTATTCATGTCAAACCAGTGTTAAATCTGTTATTGCTCACTAATTTACGTCATAGAAAGAATATGATTTCCGTTTTGGTTTTTCTTTCTTTGCACGAGACTTTCGAGTTGCATACAGACAGTATTCAATAAGAAATGACGGTTGTCATTTTTTTAATCTCTTTTTGGTTGGGATATGTCAAATCATGAAATAATATAAACCTTGATTCAAAAACTTTATTTATAAAAAGATCAAAAAATTATCATTAAAAATATCAAAAATATCCACTTTCATGATGTCGGTCCACAAAGACCCCTAGATACCAAGTTCGAATGAAATCACAGAATAATATCAAACCTCAATCGTAATTATAAATATTCATAATTTCTAATCGAAAATTATTTATATCGGACCTCACAAACCTTACCACTTGTTGACATTCACAATTATCTGTTAACTCCAAACGATTTTAACAGATGGCGATATCTATTGACTGGATTGAGTAAGTAATCAATAGATGGCGCTGCTATGTTAAACCTACAAACGTGTCATCTGTTTCTGTTTTAAAATCTGTTTTTCCGTTAATCAGCTACAATTCAATAGCATAACCACGACGTGTTATTGAGGCTAAAGTATAAGTTAAATCTATTTTGTAGTAAACGAAACACAAACTTCTACTACTAACTTTGATGCTTTAGTGAGGTTTCGATATTCCTTTCTTATAAGCAGTGTAGAGGTAGTCTCATCATTTTCATCAAATAAAAGTGACTTACATCTAAACCATGAAACAATATTTTCCAGGCTCCTCGACACATAACCCGCCATATAACAGACAATATCATTAACATAATCTGTTAAACACCAAGCAGAAGAATGGAGAAAATCCAACGCTCGTATGTCTTCACTCAGTTTATTCTCAAATATTGCTTGGTCAGTAGTCGAAGAAAGATCTTCCCCATTCTCACTGATGGTAACTCGACCACTGTTACAAAATAATATCGAGGTTGCATCTAAGTTCAAAGAATTTCCCGTATCTCCAGCTTTTATTTCTGAATGAACTATCAACCTTTTATAAGCTGCCTCAAATTGTCTAGCAGTTGGATTGTTATTGAATCCCCCACGACTTCTAACTGCTCCAAAGAACAATTCAACATGATCCTGGGATAATTTATAAGTTAGAATATATTTCAGTTTTCCAGATTCGACATAAGATTTGTAAAGGCCTTTGAGGCTCTCTATA